GCGCGCTGCCGTTTGTGCCGCTGGTGCGGGTCGTGGCGACAAAACGCCCGGCGCTTTAATCGGCGACCTGGAGGCGGGGGATGTCCCCTGGCACCGCGCGCCGCCACCAGCGCTTTAAATGCCACCGCGTGGCCGTTTTTTTTTTTTTAAACGGCCCACGCCAAATGACGCGACAGGTTTTCTTTTATTGTGATTTCGATGTGCGGAAAACCCAGCAATGAAAATGCAATGTTTGTATTGAATCATAAAATGCCGGTCAATGTGTACCCTAACGATAGGAATCATTTTCGAGGTGTTGGTGAGGAATGCGAGAGAATAATCTAAGAATCGCGATGATTTGTTTTCTGATTGGGCGCCCTTCACAACCGCAGTGTCTCAGAGCCCTTCACACGCGATAGCCACTCGAGTACGCGTTGCAGTGCTGTCCGCCTCACATCCTGGGTCTCTTTTTTTCGCCAATGTATTCCAATTTGCATTATCTGTGTCATGTCATGAGACGCACAATCTATATTTGAAAATCTCACAGAGCAGTTCAGAGGCTATGGAAGAGAATGTTCACAGCACTTCTGAACACTGCTTCAAGGGGACTTTTTTATCCTCCACGCAAGCAGGGTGGCACTTTCCCACACATTCTGCTGTGAAATTGCTTGTCACGTGGCAGTCAAACCGACATATATATTTGTACCAGCTGTAAATTAGCCAAATAAAGTGCCAAACCAAATGCAATGTGATTGTTTTCGTTTGTCGTCGGTGACTGGGCTTAGATGCCACCCGGTTTCGTCAGGGGTGGTTGCCCAGATTCAACACCTCCGATTTGCAAGGTTGACTACGAACGGTGCGAAAGAAGTTCAACGTACGTACACACAATACCCGTGATCTCAGTGGTGCTGGCTCAATGCTCTGACCTCGGGACCATCTCTGCTGGCTGCTTCATTTACTGAAGAAATTCATTTATCCGCAGTAGTGTTGCAGGTGCACTGCTTGTATACTCTATAGCCAACCCCACAGGTAAACACTAAATCTTTACGATCCCTGAAGAAAATAATAACCCTCCTCTTGGTCAGGCCAATTGAGTATCAGAGGGTATGTTGCCTGGCCTTCTGTATTGCCACACGAATACAGTGGGCAGTGTTATGTTCACTGGCTATTCATATTTTCTTTTACACGAATGGTACAAAAAATAAACATTTATTAGAAGTCAGGTTCTAGTCTATGAAATAAATACATTTTTTTCCGTCAGATATGAATGTGATTAAAAATGTTTGCACGCGTAAAGATAAATACACATGTATGTGTGCTTCTAAAGACGTGTCGTTAAATATACATGGATTATAGATTTCAAATACGTACATGGAAATTAAAGCAAAGGTCAACTGTGCACATGATGAGGTGTAGGGTTTCCCATGTGTGTCTATGCTGCAGGTTACATTCACACGATCGTCATGGTTTTATTTTCTCCTCGAACTGTGTGCCATTTGCGCTGTCGGTGACTTGTCAAGAAATGAAGACAATTCCTTCCGCAGCTTTCACAGTGAGATGTCCAGCATTGGCGGCGTCCACCACGGACAGGGCTCACAGTGTTCACCACGGGCAGTGTTCACCATGGATGTAAATATTAGCTGTTTTATAGGCGCACTTCCTCTTTCTTGGCATGTGCTGGAGATGTTTCATTTCACTTAATAAATTTCGAAACCGACGGTTCTCTCTCCCAAGTGCACAGTGCTGCGGTATCCTTTTTAACTCTCAGAAAAGGCTACGGCGGTGACCACCGTTTGTCATCTAGAGAAATAACGTTTCAATAAAATAATTTGTGAGCCATCATGTCAACGTGTCACGTGGCGCGCAGTGTTCGCTCGCTCTCACAGACGGAGAACCGCAAAGTGGGAAAGGCAGCGGTCATGTTGTGAGCGAGCACCAATTCCCCGTCAAAACGCTCTGCAGTCCTCGACATAGGAAGTTGTTCTTGGCCGATTAATGAGTCTTTGCATGCGGGTAGAATAGCCACACGTGCCATGGGGGCAACACTCGCTCGTTTAGATGTAACAGACGGAGTTGACGTTTGCTGTACCGCATTCTGCTGGCAAGCGCCCCGAATGTGCACGCGGCATCGGCGATCCACCAGAGCCGTGGCCTCCACGGCGCCGGGCCGCGTAAACCGCTGCCCGGCCGTCCGCCTGGCCACCGTGGGGCGGTACCCGAGAGGTCAACTTTTGGAGCCGACGGCTCAAGGGGCCGTGGCGGTTCCATTTCGGCGCTCCGAGGTGGCACCGCGGCGGGCGAGAAATGCGGAGAGGAAGCCCCCGCAGAGGGCTGCCGCTACGCAGCGGCAGCACTCGAAGGCGGCGTGCGTCCCTGTCGAGCGACGCACGGCGTCCCACTCGTGGACGACACCCTCGGCCAAGGCGCAGCTCAAGAAAACGCAACGTTTGGGGGGAAATACGGCGATGATTGCTTGGGTTATTTTAATAAAGGCAGGTCTGTTAAAGCTTACTCGCGCAGTTCCCGTTTTGAACGATTACGCAATGCAGATCTTTCCCAAAACTCGGCTAAGCCGCGCGCGGTGCGGGCGGGCGCAGTGGTTCACGTTTGGAGTTTAATGTCCGAGTGACGATCGTGGCGGAAATCAGTAAATGGGTAAATCGCTTCGTGAAAAGGAAATGGGCTTGGGGACAATGTCCCGAGTGCAGTGGCCCTTCTTCACCTGGGATGCGTTGCACTCCTAGGGGCTGCGAGACGTCCTTTTGGGGGGTGCGAGACATTCCAGATTTTGTTTTTTAAATAATCGAAAATACAAATTAAGCGAGGACACGCAAGTACAACTACTTTGTTTCATCAATCCCTATGCATTTGTTAATATTATATATTTTTTACGATTAAGAACCAAAGGGGTGCAGGCTACAGTGAAAGTGAAGAACCGGTGGCCTCGTGGATGGCACGTGGAGGCAGAAAGCGTCCGGGCGGTCGGCGACCGCGGAGATGGAGCGACGATTCGCTTTGTGTGCGGGAGCGACGATTCGCTTTGTGTGCGGGAGCGACGATTCGCTTTGTGTGCGAGAGCGACGATTCGCTTTGTGTGCGGGAGCGACGATTCGCTTTGTGTGCGGGAGCGACGATTCGCTTTGTGTGCGGGAGCGACGATTCGCTTTGTGTGCGAGAGCGAGGGTGACGGCAGCGGGCCGCTGGGAGGGCTTTGTCTCTGTCGCTCATCCAGAAGGATCGAATTTTCTGCGCTGTTGCAGACAAAGTGCACGGGATGTGCAAAAGTAATGTCGTAAAATAATAAAACCAATAATTCGCTGAATGTAGACAAACGGCAACGTTTCGTGTGCACGGTAGACGTGCAGTTTCGCAATGCGGGAGGGAGTGCAGTTATTTAACTTTCAGTAATGACCGATGTGAAACAGCAAACAGGGGAAGCAGAACACGAACCATCGAGGCACAACGCTCCTCCTCAGTCACGAGCCACCCCCCCCTCCCCCACGTCTTGGCACAGCACACACAGCACACGAGTGAACGGGTGTGAAAGAAATAACGAAAAGAATGCGAGACGCCTTCACTGCGGTGTCGAGGCACGGCCAAGGAGCGGGTGCCGCTGTCGGTGTTTTTGGTCTCTCCCATTGGAGGCCACCTCCGGCTGACGCTCACAGCGGTGCAAGCTTCAGCAGGCGCACACCACAGGAGGAGAATAAATAAAGAGCCCCACCTGTTATCAGAAAACGGTGGGTGGCACGGTTTGACAACGGAAGTGCATCCCAGGCATGTGGCACCACTTGAATAATGATAACTCGCGTCGTCTCCCTCCCCTCCGTGTGGGTCCCCACGTGTTCACCTTCTGAAGCGCTCGCTCGTCACCGTGGCGTGCGCGATGACCACCACCACGTGACTCTTTTTCGTGTTGTGCGCGTGGTATTTAACTCCACAGCGCGTGGATTTATAGCGTTTGTTTATTTATTTGCTGGCGACCGTGTATTTTATATCGGAATCGCCTCCAGTGCTGTTGCTGCTGGCGGCAATAAAAGTTGTTTAAAAGTCTGTGTGGAGCCCAAGAGACAACATTACCCCCCAGTGTGGCATTTATTTGATTGAACGTTGGGGGCGAGCGCAAGAGGGAGTGGTGTTGACAACGACCAAGGAGCGTCTCAGTGGTGCTCATGGTTTTGCAGACTGCACCAGGTAATCATTCAAGGACAAGTCGACGTAAAGGACCGGTCCACATATTACTCGCGGTCAGCCGGGTCCGTGAGGCAGTGGTGGTAACCAGTGTCGCTGTGTGCGCCCTCCGGTGCTAAAGCGCTCACTGGATATTTCCCGGGTCGCTTCTCGACTTGAGTGTCATACAATTAGTAGCCACAGTCGTATTGAGGGGTATACTAGATGTGGTGTTCTGGCCATGCGTAACCACACCAGCCCTAGGACACCTCTGTCTCGCAACACCACACGTGTTGCCGGGGCAGGAATGATGAAGGTGGCGCATGGGATCAGTCTTTTCCAAACACGCGCACACTTCGATTAGCACCTGTAAAGTCTGTGATTGAGTGGACATCACTTACAACATCTGAATCTTTAGTAGTTCCTCTTATAAACCACACGAAAAAACAACTGATTTGTATCTCAACAAGGGGCTCAATGTGCATGAATTATAGAAAAAAATTAAACTATTTAAAGCATTCCGATACATTTGTTACGTATTTTAGGAGGTGGAATGCAGATGCATTTTGTATTCGCGCCAATAATCCCACCGAGACGTGGCCCGACCTGGGAGCAGTCGATATCACGACTCACGAAGCTGTGCCGCTCAAGCAGCAGGACTCCCGTCAAGCCTTGCGTGCCACGTGATCTCCGCGTTGCACGACTTGGGCACAAGTACTGTAGTGTGCGATGATTATGCGGATCCTTTCAACACTCAACTTAAAAAGGGAATGAGGCGGGAAGGAGGTGGCTGCGTGAAACGGCCGTTTCCGCGTTTCGCTCTCAAACTGCAAACCGACACGGGAGCACGGTCATCACGCCACAAGGATTTTTTTTTATTATTATTGAAGCAAATTGTGAATGAACAGACAAGTAAAACTGTGCGTTTGCTCAAATTGATCTAACGACGATTTTATGGTTTATTAAAATAAAACTGCAAACATAATACGTTCTTAATAAAATATGCTCTTAAAGAAGCCCTTGCATCTATAGTATTGGCCCTGAGTATTCGCACGAAGCCACACGCGTCTTACCAACGCGCCCACCGATTATTCAGCTCACTTTTCTTGCTTTGCGGACGAGTGACCTTCACAACCAGTTAGTGTTCCCCTGCGATCGGCTCAATGTGCCAACAAGCCACCAACGAGCCGCCTCGGCTCTCTCCCTCTCTGCGCCCTCTCGTTCCACCACAGCGTGTACAGGCCGCCGCAAAGGGAGCAGCTGATCTCACGAGAAAGCAATGTGCGGTTGCCACAGCAGCTGGCCATCTAAGCAAGGCCCGCCCAGGGGTTCCCAGAAACCTGGGGTAGGACATCGCGTTGCGAGGCCCCCTTGTGCGTGAGGCTTCGGGGCTCATTGACCCTATTTAGCCTAGCCTCTCGGAGGTGATGGGGGGGGGGGGGCAAAGCAGCACTGTGGTGTTTAGTGGATTTGAGCATCGCTCGTCTCCTCTCGGTTGCCTTTCGATGTGAGCAAATGTTTTATTATTGTTGTGTTGCATTGTACAATGCAAATGGCAGTGTCCGTGTGGTAGTGGCGATTGATACATTGTGTACACAGCACACACGAGACGGGCCCAATGCGACGCCACATACCTCGCTTCGGGGGGTGGGGGGATTCATTCATCAAAAACTGCAGCCCGTCATTTTTTAAAAAAAGCTGTTTAGTAAAGAAAAACAAAAATTCTCAAAAAAAATCTTTAACTTGTGAACTATAAAAATGGTACATTTCTCAGGTTTTTCTTATATATAAAAACAAATGAAGCATACAGGCGGCATACGACATTTGGTACGTTGTTTTAAATATAAAGCATTTTAAATACCCCTAACAATGTGTGAAAAAAAGCAACCGGAAATGTAAAATTGTGGGTTGATTTTCCCGCCCGGGTTGGCGGCCCGGCCGAGGCAGTAACAGTTCCTGATGGTCCCGCTGCGCTGGCTGCGCTGCGGGGTAGTGAGGAGGAAACCGATGATTGTCGTTTATTTAAAAAAAAAGTGTAAAGTGACAGTTGTGCAGAGGTATAAAAAAAACGGCGAGCAGGGCATCTGTACCGGATTTGGTTTTGCCGGAGGCGAGGGCACGGCGCGAGCGTGCGGAGGGCAGCCTGCCGGAGTTACAACGGCGCCGTAGCGCTGTGCCCGGCTAGGTGGGCGGGCGCCCTCTTCTCTTGATCGGTGGAAAATGTAATGTCAGGCAACCCCGACGGAGGTGTATCCGGCATGAAATCAGTGTGAAGCAGCAGCTTACAAAGAAAGTGCAGGATACATTATAAAAAAAAATTAAACTCGTCGGCCTTATTGAAACGTACTCAAAGCAGTACACACACCCTGCAAATATTGTCACCTTAGGTCAAGTAAATGAAAATGCAAGCACGCCTCAAGGCGTCGCAGAATTGGGGATTTTTTTGCAGAGTTCATCCCATTCATCTCTCCGACCGTCCGTGCGCCACGATCACGAGGAGAACTTCTTCAACTTGTCGAGCATGGAGAGCAGGTGCCTCCTCCTCGCTTCCTGCCGGCACTTCTCCACCTCCAGCCGCCGCTCGTCCGTGCCGAGCGAGCGCGCCAGCTCGGCCGCCTTGCGCAGGATGAGCACCTTGGCAGCGCGCTCGTTGGCGCGCAGCTCGGGCACGGAGTCCCGCAGCGTGACGAAGCTCGAGCGCAGGCCGTCGCGCCGCTGCCGCTCCAGGATGTTGTGCGTGCGCCGCCGCTCGCTCTCTTCAGTGTCCGAGCCGCCGCTGCTGCTGCTGCTGCTGGCGCTGCTTGGCCCTCGGCTGCCCCACCGCTCCGCCGACGGCCGGGGCTTCGCCGCGAAGCGCGACGCCGCCGCGGCGGCCGCCGGCGACGAGGCCCCCCAGCGGGGTCGCTTGACCGGCGGAGGGCTCGGCGGGCTGGGCGCGGCGTAGTTGTGCTGCTGGTGGATGGGGATGTGGCAGCCGTGCCGCACGGCGCCCCACGGCTCGCAGCGGGCCGGCCGCGTGCCGGCCGTGTTGGTGTTGACGGCGACGCTGCACGGCGTGCGCCGTCTCGACGGCGTGGGCTGCCTCTTGTCGACCGTCACCACGTCGATCTCTTCCTCTGCGCCACGGAGAGAGGGAGGTTGAGGCCGGCGCGCGGTCACGTGTGGCGGTAAAGCAGCGTGTCCTGCGCATGTAAAAAGGGCGCCGCCAAAACGGTTATAGAGCCTCGTGACGCAAGCGTTCGTGTGTAGCCGGCGCCCCAGCCCGCGTCTGGCAAGTGCTTCGGCAACATTTGTAATCCGGAATGGAAAAATCTACGTTAATTTAATGGACTTTTTGTTAACCATTCCCAAGCAGAGAATTGCGATTCGTACCGGTACAATTTTAGCTGTAAACAATAATTGGCGGATTACCCCAGGCACCTCACACGAATTTCTCTAAATATCTCGTGGAATCTTGAGTGTGTATTCGAGATTCAACAGCAGCCAGGAGGATCCACTCGGCACACCCAAAACCCATGCCCTTGTCTGCCCACCAAGCCGTGCCAGGCCTTGCTTTCTAGGAATTGCCGGGGCTGTGACGTCCGCGAGAGGACGGTGGCCAAGCCGCTGAACCCTCGGCGCTCCCCGCTGGACCCTCTGGCTGCCATCCAGTCTCGAACGCGCACCACATTTTATCTGTCGCAGGGCTGGCGTAAAGCGCGGCACTGCGCATGACCTCAACGCGTGGCGGCGACCCTAGGTAAAAGGGCTGCTGCGCACTTTTGTCCTCCACCGCGGCGGCGGCAGAATTAACGACGGCAGCAGTTTACGTTTTCACCGCGCCGGGGGGGGGGTGGGAGGGGCTCAAGGGACGGCAAACCTCCAAAGCCAACTTCAAAGGAATTATTTCAGCCGGTTTGGTATTGCCGAGATAATAGCCGAGTGGATAACGGGAGCCAGTTAATAACAAAACTGCCGGGCAAAGTCTCTGACCGCAGAGCATTGCCGCTTCTACCACAACAACATTCATGTTAATTTGAGCGGTTAATCCACTGCGCTAACATCGGTGATGAGTGATACCAGAACTCGCCCCCGCTTTAGCAACCCACACTGGCCACCGCGGGGTGAAAATAACATTACGACTGACACCAACTGAATTATCGCCAGGTTGTGAATGGCTGGAACGTGTTATCTTTAAAACATTTCTGCGTTGCCGCAGGCTCCGTGTCCTCTACGCAGCCAACTTTGGCGCCACCGCCGCCGCATCGTTCAGGCAACCCGCGCGCACCTCGTCGGGGTGCTCACCCGAGTCCGTGGGGGGTTCCGTCTCCGTCTGGCTTGGGCAGGGGCTGAACCTCGACGGCGTCGACGGGATCGGCGGCTCCATCACGCGGGGGCTCAGCGGCTCGGGGAAGCACGGCTCGGATCCGCTCGGCGTCGTCGGCGTGGCCGGAGTCGCCGGCGCGGCCAGGCCGGTGTCGGGCGGCGGGACGGCCGGCTCCTCGTGCACCAGGCTGGGCGGCTGTGCCGCCTCCGGCCGCCGCCGCCGCTGTTCGACGGCCGCGGCCGTCGCCCTCTCCGCCTGCTCCCTGGCGTCGAACGCGCTCCACATGCAGTCCTGCCGCAGGCCCGGCACCACGGTGGACCCTTCCGCGAGCAGGTCGTTGATGAAGTCCTCGGCACTCTCCTGCTCCTCCTGCTCCCTCAGGAACTCGGAGACGAGTTCCAGCGTGTCGGAGCCAGGCAGCAAGTCGGAGCCCGGGTCCCAGCCGTCCGTGGACAGGAAGCCGAGCTCGTGCTCGAAGTCGGTGCAGCCCGGCGAGAGCGGCGGTGTGGGCAGCAGCTCGAACCGCTTCCACGTGTCGATGGTGTCGGTGTGCGCCATGAAGGGGTAGAGGCTGCAGTCCTCCTGCTCCACGCCGTCACAGTTGAGGAGCTTCTGCACGTCCAGCGCACGGTCCAGAGCATAGACGTGCTCCGAGCCCATGGCGGCGGAAAATCCGTGCGGGGTGAGGATTCAGGGCCCGTGGGTGGATGCGGAACGGTGCTGCAATCTGCGTCTTGCGACGACAACGTGAAAGAAACGACAGTTACGTTAGAGATGAACGCAATGCAGAAGTTGAGAGCCAAGTGAAAGTGCATCCCTGAATCTCCTCAATGCCCCAGCGGTCATGGGGGAAGGAGCAAGGAGAAATTCCATAGAAAGAATCCAGACGAAATTTCTATCGATTTTTCGAAGCGAATTACTTTTCATTTTTAAATCCCACACCCTTAATTTAAAACAAGATTTTGACCACCCAGATAACTCTTGACTTAAAGTTGCATACAATGTTTACGTCTGACAGTGAAACAAAAGCTCTTAAATCGCTACAATTTGTATCAGGCACCTATAGTAGATTGGTGCAGTCTCCAACTATTATTAACTCAAAATCTCTCATCCCAACTGGATATTTAATGTAGCGAACGCTCCGTGAAGGGAGCGGTGCGCAGTTTTGTAGAAGAGTGGAGGAGAGACGCGCGCCCCAAAAGGGGGCGCTGGAGGCCTCTGGGCCCAGGGCCAAGTAGCGCAAAGGGTGACAGAGGCCCCGCCACGGCATTCGGGGCTCGTCACGCAATTAGGCGGACAGTGCCTGCTCCATCGCTCGCGCCCAGCACCCCTGGACGGTGGTGGTGGGGGAATTCGAGTTCATCGGAGACTTCAAATTGCATAAGATCCATCCTGGTCGCCGGATTTAAAGCGTCACCCGCTAGCCGATGTTTCTACTCCCACTTTAATTGCACGCCGAGAAAAGTGGGCGCTTGGTGGACAGCATCGCCATGCGTTGCCACTGAATAACGCATGCCGGTGGCTTTGGCAGAGATTGCTCTCACTCGTCACGACGACGGTACCGCTTCGATTTATACATCTAGAATTACATATAAAGTAATGAACTCGAAAGTTATTTCCTATATTTTTGTTTCCATATTCTGCAAGTCCGAGGCGTCGTATTGTCAGAGCAAGTGGAGCGTGTTTGGGGCAGCAGGCGAAGCTAAGATGCCCCCCACCCCGTGGTCGAGACTAAGCGCGGGGTGGCAGCTAACGGAGCCAACGCCCGTCGGCCGCGGAGATGGAGCGACGAAATCACATCGTGCGCAGGAGCGAGATGGATCGTTGCCTTGCGAGACCGCGAGAGATATAGACACGCTACATTCCGCAGCAGGCCTTGAGCCACACGTTGATAACTCATGGTTGATGTTACGTAACTATACAGCATGCGTGCAAACAACAGCCACCTCTCACGGCCCTGCGATAACCCACCCACCCAGCACCTGCACGTGATCCAATGTCATTGCTCCATCTCCTTAGCGTACGAACTCTAGGACGCGTTCCGTGTAAATACACAGTTTGACAAATCGTTATTTTCAAACGCGCCGTAATAGCAGCAACCGTCCACTAATAATTAGCAGCCTTTGCCAATCCACTGCTGGATGAATAATAAAATCTTTCCCACCCCGTGTCGGCTACTCTCGGGCGTTACGGTGGCGAGACGTCAACTACCTCGCCTGTTTAACACGTGGGAGGCTTTCGCGACCAATATTATGCATAATAAAGGGTTTTGGGTTAGATCGCGTTATTTAAAAGTGTCGTTACCCTCCACCACCCGGCACGGCCAAACAGTAAAAAATGTTTCACGTTTACAAAAGGCAAATAGTTCACTACCTTATCCCACCGGTGTGTTAAAGAGTGAATCAACATCATTTACAATTTGGAGGACGACGTTTCGCTGGTAATTACATCCAGCAGTATACGGGAGGTCGTGGGTTAAAGCCAAACGCTGACGCGCGTCTCTCTACCCGTGGTCGCGTGGATTTTTTTCTCCGGGTCCTCCGCTTTTTCCCCTCCACATTTAGAATGACCATGCGTTTAGAGTATGTGGCTACTACGATGCATTTCCACATGACAAGGCACTTCGTTGAGCTATCATTTGTGGCCATGTCGCTGCTGAAAAAGAGCGATTTCGCCGAGTGAGTTTTATCTGGTAATGAAGTAAAACATTGTTCAATATTTTGACCATACTTCACCACGCTGGTCAGTGCGTAGTAGAATGCCCGTGGGTGCGGTGAGGGACCTTGGACCGATCGCTCGCCAGTGATGTTAACCGTGGCCGGGAATCGGTCGTCTGTCTGAGCTCATAGCGCGGTGCGTTAACCACTGTGCCACCACTCCACACCGACGCACCGGCAGCAGGCGATGCCAACGTTGAAGCTGCAGGGCTTTCACTCTCGCCGTGGACATAGCCCGCCGCTTCCACTGCAGACATGTGGCCAGCGTGGAACATACCTTTAACAATCACTCGGCTCAGGAGCCATCAAACCCTCGGTAGAATCGGCAACTACATCCATCACATCACTTACCGGCGAGTGTAGCAGCAGCGAGCCACGAATTCTCCAAAAAAATTCCCACGGCAAGCTGACGATGCTCCGAGTTGGGTCTTCGAAGAATGCTGGCCCGATCCAATGCGATCCGATCCGATCCGATTCCACGAGATCGCGCCGAGACCACGATCACAGAAATATGCAGAGGGCGGACGGGGCTTGCAGAGTCGACTACAGTGGTGCTGGTGGTGGTGGTGGCAGAGCGTGAATGCGCTGCGCGTGCGTCCGGCGTGCGGGATTTAACCAGGGTGTGGAGGCGCGCCCCCCTTGGCTCGTGAATATTCAGCAGCGCCCCGTACGCGCGCGTGGTGCAGGAGGAGGGGTGGGGCAGGGTTGGGGCAGAAATTAGCGCAGCGATTGTGGCCGGGAATTGTATTATTAATGTTATTGTAAGTGGGAATTAAGTTAATCTCCCTTGTTGCCAATTGGATTAAAATAATATGTTATATATGTAATGTATATCGATTTCTGGAAATGCTTTCACCCAGTTATGAATTAACTATGGATACTGATTATTGAGTTTTGTTTTAGTTTGTTAGATGGGTGATCCTGTGTAGCCAGTTCCACGGCTACCGTGTTGTGTGAGCGCAGCAACCACAGAACGAGGACAATCACTTAATGCTGTTGTCTATCTTCCAAGGTGGCTAATTTGGTCCAGTGCGAAAGAAGTTCAACACACGTACACATAGTGAAAATTACTTACGTTGTATTAAATACATTTTTAATTTGTTATTTTTTGTTAATTTCTTTGAACCTATCTACGTGGATTTACCGAAAGACCCAGAAAATAAAATGTTACTTGTGCACGACTGCCAACGCAGCCGATTCATTTAAATGTATTTAAATGTAATTATGTATTTAAACGACACCCAACCCCCGCGGCTGATTTCAAACCTGCGCGGCAACGTCACTGAACGGGGCTTGCTTCTGCTCCTCTATCGCCCGATTAGCATCTCAACACAGGTTGCGTAGAGGGCGCTGCGAGCAATTCGCATGCACATGCGCCGATTTCCATTGCATGTGCACGCGGTGGGGGCACCAGTTTCGTTCAGGCTGTGCCACCGTGGTGGGGGCACAATGGGGGGGGGGGGGGGTAAGGGGTGATTTGCGAGGGGGCGGGGTCAACCCACCAAATTTCCCAGTCCTGGAAATTCAAGTCTCCTTCTCTTACTCGAAAGCAAAACGAGGAATATCTGTGGAGGTTTCATTGGCCATGCCCTAATATGGTCCGCGCCCGGTTCCGCTCGGGTTTTTTTGCTTTCCCGAAGCCATGGAGATTGGATCGCTCTGCCAGATTCCGGCATCACGCCGCCGCCTGGCGCAGCAGCAGCAACAACAACAACCGCACTGGTGCTGGGCGCGGCGTGCCAAGTTGAGGAGTCGCCACGAACGCAAACGAGTCAGTTCAGTTCAGTTCCATTTATTTGGTATAGCCCTGTGAGCCATTCGGCTCTTGAATCGGGTGCAACCGCAACAAACAAAAAACTAAAACATGAACAAGAAAACATCTTAAAGTGACTATGTGACTGTGGAAACAGAAAATCCAGGAAAAAAAAAATCAAAATATTCCTGAAAAAGCACCGTACACCAACGCTAGATGTCGCACCGTACACCAACGCTAGAGTCGCTAGATGTCGCGCTCGGTTGACCTTCCAAAGTCGCCAAATGTATCACTACGTTTACCAACGAGTACAATACAGGAATGTGCATCCATGTAGATGCATAAGTATGGCGATGCATTAATGTGTTTCTTTTTTAATGTGCCAGTTTAAAACTGTAAAACCTGTTACAAGTGAACAATCCTCATAGAGCGAACTTACTTCCAGGTCTGGACGTGGCAAATGTCAAGGCGCAGCCCTGCAATTGGGAGCGCCACTGTGACAAGATGTTAACTCCCTCGCCTGGTATGGAGGAGGTCGTAGGTTCGATCCCAACCCTGACGCCTGTATATGTTGAGATTGCATGTTCCCCCCGTGGTCGCGTGGATTTTTCTCCGGGTCATCCGATTTTTTCCTTCCACACTTAGAAACATGCGCAGAATTCCAATAACATCTTACCATTTGGGTTCAGATCAGGGGGGGGGGCGGGCATTCCTCCCAATCACGCCTCTCCAGGTATCTCCATCGTGAGCATTGAAGTCGCCCAGTCAGACTGTGGAGTCGGTAGGCGGCACTCTGTCAAGCACTGCGCCCACTGTCTCCAAGAATGCCGAATACTCTGAATTGCTATTTGGTGGATAAGCACAGACAACAGTCAGAGTTTCCCCTCCTGAGACCCGAAGTCTCATTGAGGCGACCCTCTCATCCACTGGGACAATCTCCAGCTGAACAGCACCCAGCCGGAGGCTAGTGAGTATCCCCACACCGGCCTGGGCCCTCTTACCAGGGGTGACTCTGGAATAAGAGAGAGACCACTCGCGATCGAGAAGTTTGTTTCCACTGCCAATACTGTGTGTGGATTTGAGACCAACTATATCTAGTCTATACCTTTCCACCTCCACCAACTGATTTCTTTAGAAGTTATGTTTGTGTTTAGTATTGTTATCCTTCACCCGCACCTCTGATTAGCACGGTAGGCTACTTACGGCGCGAAGGAAGGACAACAAACATGCGCGTGGCGAGAGGGCCTTTGTTCGGCAGTAGATTAACAAAATACATATTCACAACGTGGGGGCCTGCTGCCTCCTCTCCCCGCGCCTCCTCTCTCCGCGCCGTCCCCACCGTGTCCCCGTGTCTGTAGTTCAGATGAACTGCCGACGAGCAGCTGAGGGCATGGGGGTGGGGGGCGCAGAATGCGGCGATGACTCAAGGGCGGCGTTGTGAGCAGCAGCACTGTGCGGAACTGACCACTTCGGAGCTGACTTCCCGATGCAAAAAAAAACTAAAACACAAAACACGCTACCCAGTTGGTTGGGTTTGGGGGGTGCTTTCTCCCTCGCGGTGCCGGTGGTGGGATGGGTGGGCGAGCGAGTGGAGCAACGCGCGCGTCCCACGAACTCGGAATCCAATCGATGACTCACAAACCCCGGGTCCCCGTTTCCCTACGCCGAGTGGTGACCGCGCTTGCATTTGATGAACACGGTGAGGAAATTCCACGCGTTCATGTGGAACGTTTTGTGAACCGGAAGCCGGGAATTCCGCTCTACAGAAATGTCTCACCCGTGAATGCTCGTTATTTTACGCATGCCATGCATCGTGTGGGCCGTCTGATAACCATATTTCTCTCTCCATAAACAGCCCCCTTTATTTCAACCGGGAAAAGTCCGGTACAATGTTCCGGGAATTATTATGGCACGCCACATCCAATCTTCATCTCTTAATAGGATTACATGAATACTGCGCCTATGATTACATGAATATAAGTGTATAATAATATAGGATTACTATGGATAGGCGTACCGATTACTCATTGTGGTAGTGCCTTTTCGTTGATAATTAATACTCCAAGCCTTGCCTATCATCCTTGAGAAAATAATACGTGTGTAAATTAGTTTGGTAGGCCAGAGGTGACGTTCGCTGAGATTAACAGGCCTTTGCCCAAAACGAAATGCGTCTGTTGTCTGTAGTTGTGTTTGCGCACATGGAGATTGGTAACCGTGAGAGATGGAGACAGCTTGGGGAAGACTTCATCGAGCAGTGGGTTGCTCGTGGCTGATGATGATGTATGGACATACAGGACGAATCATTGTGCAGATGCCGATAACGATCTATATGTTGCACACAGCCTGATCAGTGCACTGCTGGCTGAGACGAGGGACTTCCTTGCACACACACAAGCCGTGCAGGCCGTGGGGTTTTATCTGACCATACTTCACCACGCTGGTCAGTGAAGGTTGGGGAGTGCAGGGAGACAATGGGCTTTGTTGGACGGCCTCCTGTTCCCAAGATAGCCTGCTCCAGTCAGAAACTATATGGTTCAGAAAAGTGTAGGTTATCAAACTGTGATATACAGGGTGACCCAAAAGTCACGACACATTGGAGTATGTTGATTATTTTAATACTGGAATTAAATAATTTGAATTGTTTACTCTGAGTAAGTAAATATTGTATCAATGACTAATTTATTTTTTTCTTCTTCCTTCTCAGATAACATTTAAAAATGGAAAGAAAATTTAATGATTTGAGACGAAACAAAGTTGATCTTAATCTTTTAAAAAAGTCCAAAATTCATTTCAACAGAGAATTCATGACTCACGCTTTGCTGCCAATGGAAGCCAGAGTTTGGACATTTGTGAAAACAAATGGAACACCCCTCTGTGCGACTGGTTAACATAAATAACATTAATATATAACATTACAAATATATAAATATAACAATCCGCTGTGTCTCCTGACTTTTGGGCCACCTTGTATGACCTTACCAAGTTAAATATGAAAAAATATATCAACACATTTATCAATACCATTGCCTTTACATATATAATTGGAGACGTTTCGGACAAAGGCCCTTCTTTATAGCACGTATAGTTAGTTTTTTTATACATCTCTTTCGGCAGTGTGATTGAATAATGTGTAGAGGTTGTCTTTGTTAATCATGAGTATGCACCCGTCAACGCAGCAGCAGCAGCAGCAGCCACACCACACGCCTTTTCAATCTGGCGTCGCATCACAATGATGCCGCGCCTCCGATGAGCACGGTTGGCTACGTACGGTGCGAAAGAAGTTCGACTTACTTGTATACAATGTCTTATCTGCGTGGTGTTGTGTGCGCCGCTGTATGGACGTTCATGTTCATGAAGTGTAGCACGTAGGAGGCTTTCGCGACCAATATCATCCTTAATACAGATTTTTTTATTAGGTTTATTATCATGGATCTATTACAGTCTAACAAAAAAATGCTTTTGTTTCTGTGTAGGAAATGTTATTTTCTAATTGCTTATGCCTCAAAAGTACATAAAATGGCTATTATTCCCCACAAACTTTGCTTTTGTGACCAGGGCAGTTATATTTTGAAATGTAACTATTTTCAATGAGAAAACGTGGTGTGCATTGGTGTCTTTCCTTCACATAAAGTCCTGGTCACAAAAGCTATTTTTGTGGGGAATAATAGCCTTTTCTATACTTTTTAGGCATAAGAAATCAGAAAATAACACTTACTACCCAGGAACAAAAATCGTGTTACATAGCTGCCGTTTACTCAGAACGCTTCCTATTCCGCGTACTCGGCACGGGCTGTGCTTGGTGGTAGCTACCCTTGATATAATTGCCCCACTGGCTTTGATGTATGTGACGTGGTTGCCACCTTATTGAGGGATTCAATTTGAAAGTCAAATGCGGAGGGCAGGTTAACAATGAGCAGCCCAACGTGTTCGCAATCGACTATTAAACAAAAACCCAACACATCTGTGAGTAACGTCGCGGCCTAAAATGAAATAAATATAAACAAATATAGGATGCAAATTCTAGAGCTAAGGCTAAAACGTGTCTTGCTTCAACCAGCGCAGACAAATATACACTTGGGGCTTTGGTGAAACACTAAAATGTTTGAAACAACTTCTTGTTGTTTCAAGTCACGTAGAATGAGAATAAAATAATAAAATAAGACAATACAATTCTCACGACGTTTCGGCCACAACACAAGTAGCCTTCTTCAGGTGAAGGAACAAAACTGTCGGGACGATAGAGCTTCAATGAACGCTGCTAAGATT